TCACCGGGGACGTTCGAGTTCATGCTGCCCTATGCTCAATTGACAGCAGCTGCATCACAACAGACACCAAACGAGATATTGAGTCTCCAGGCACAGTTTTCACATATCATCAAACTGCAGACATCTTCACCGTTCAACGGGCACGGCTTCTTTACCTGGAGTTTTGAGTTCGAGCTGCTGATGGAGGCCGCGCACCTCTAAGGATACTTCAACGGGTCCCTGCCATTTCCAAGCAATGGCACTGCAAAGGAGCAGGAAATCTTCACTTATCAGTCGCTGCTGGCGTACACATTTCTTCCGCGAAATCTGTCACCTCAAGAGCAATAGAGCATCAGAACGTATCGGAGCTACGGAAACTCCGCGGAGCTCGCCTGGCATCATCTGAAATGTCTCTATCAAGCAAACGACAGCATGACACAAAGCAGACTCATGCAACAGCTAACAACAATACAAATGAAGACCGGGGAAAAGATGATGCAGTATATGAGTCACTGCCAGACACTCCGCGACCGCCTGCTTCGGTGCGGAGGTACAATCAATGAAGAAAGCTTCGTGACACTTGTTCTCGCCGGGCTCGGACCAGAGTGGAGAACCACCCGCTCATTCCTTTGCGCCCACGGACGATGCACCTCTGTGCCGAGCTTCACGCCGAACAACAGGAGATGGACCTGTTTGAAGGAAGACAACCAAGAAACAAGCAGCAACCGTTAGTCTTCTATACTCAACGAAGAAACGACAACAACTACAACCGACGTGATAAGAGGACTCACCATCGTGCCGCCGTTCTGCCACAACTGTCAGACATCCGGGCACTCCAAATTTGATTGCACACGCCCTCGAGTTTATCGTCTCGCAGACCCGCAAGTCGCCTCCACTCAAGAGAATCCGCCAAGTCGCTCCTCTACACCTGCACAAGGCGCACCGAATATTATTAACTGCATGGTACACATCGACAACTGCACACCCGGATCACCACCCACTAATGCTCTAGACGAAGAAGAACTGCTGCCGCCACGCTCACAAGGTCTCCAGGTCAACCCGACGTACGCTGCAGTCGCCAACGCCGAACCCACCGGGCGAAACACCTGGTTCTTGGACAGTTGCTGCGGCCAACACATGTGTTCTTCCGGGTGCTTCGTACAACGAGAGCGACGCCTCAACCGCGATGTTCTCATCACCATCGCGAACAACGAGAACCTGAAAACAAATAGGCAAGGCGTCGTTCAGCTACAGTCAATGGAGACAAACGTTATACAGCTGCTCAACAAAGTTCTCATCGACAACAACTTGGGATACAATCTACTAAGCGTCAGCCAGTTAATGGCGAAGGGGATTCACCTGGAATACAACTCGGACGACAACGAGTTTCGTCTTTACCACGGGAAGGGCGGCCTCTTCATCGGTCGTGCTCTCCTAAAGTCGGGCGTCTTCGTGCTGGATTTCGTCCCCGACCGCGGTACTGCCGACAGCGATGGCATCGTTTCGTTTGCCACCTGGACGCACCCACCGGATCTTGACCCCGACTTACCCCAGACGGCTTCTGGTACTCCAAGACCATCCCTGCTGTAGAGAGAACACGAGCATTAGCAGTCATCCGACAAGAACGACAAGTACCAGCAAGTACACCTTCCTCAATATCACATGTAGTAACAACAGCAGGACCAAGCCGCGCGCCATCACCAACAATCCGAGGACCGCCATCCGAAGCAGATCAAATCATGCCCATCACCCGAGGAGTCTGTCGCAATCCCGTCACGGTCGTCCCGTTCTTCTCCAACGCCGACATGTACCAGCGCTCACCCGGCCATCGCGCTCCCGACGACATCTGGCATCAACGCCTCGGACACCCTGCAAACAGCACAGTACCACAAACCATACAAGCCGGAGTATTAGAAAAGGACGCTCTTCTCACAACGAGTGGCCAGGAGCTTCGACGACCCCGCGCACGATGCTTTACGTGTCCCGAAGCTGATCTTCCCCACCAACCTTTTCCGTCGCACCACAATCCAAGCGCACCTGCATACCTACCGATGGAAAAAGTCTACAGCGACATCTTAAATATGCCTCGAGACGACAGTAAAGCAGAGTACAACTATGTCATCACGTTCATCACCGCAGCAACACGATACGTTTGGCACTACAACCTCAAGACACGTGATCAAGTGTTCGAAGCCTTCACGACGTGGCTCCCCATCGCTGAACGAGAATCGGGCTCCCAACTCAAGAGTTTCCAGTCAGACGGGGCACTGGAGTACCAGTCACAACGATTCAGGAACTACTTGGCAGAAAGAGGCATCAGACGCCTGGTGTCTCTGCCCTACGCTCACCAGCAGCAGGGGGTCGCAGAAAGGATGAACAGAACCTTGCAGACGACGATGCGGAAGCTGCTCCTTGGGATAAGACTGCCCAATACCCTTTGGCCTGACGCGATGACGCATGCAGTCCACCTGCACAATTTGCTGTCCTCGTCATCACTTCCAAATAGCGCATCACCGCACCTGCTGTGGACAGGAAAATAGGGCAGCACAAAATTACTTCGAGTCTTCGGCTGCATGGTACAGTATAGACCCCACACAGCCCGAGCAGGTCGATTCTCTCAACGAGCACGGTGGGGACTACACCTCGGCATCGCAAAACATTTTCAAGCATGGAAACTTCTTGACATTCAAGACAAAACCACAGTGGCCTCACGTGATGTGATTTTCTACGAGCGACTGATGCTGCAACATTACCTGGACAACATCGCCAACACAGACAACCCCACCGACGGCTTTGAGGGCCATCGGTCCTTCGCCGACCGTGCTGCCGAAGCTGACGCAGCAGAAGAAGACGTACCTGAAGCCTCGGAAGCTGCCGGACCACTCCTTACTGCTCCCTGCCCGTTCCACTCAACGACGACAATCCTCTCGATAGTAACAACCTCGACACCTATTACCACTTCGCTAACCAGGGTTATGCTACACCTTAACCGGTCGACACAATTGTCTCTGAGCGCATCGGACCAAATTTTTTTCCTGATCCCGAAGATGGTGACGAAGCAGCTTATCCCGCGAATGACAACTCCCCTCGACAGACACACACGGGCCTGCAGATACTTGGACTATGGGTCGCCGTCTAAAGCCCACCGCCGCCGTCACCGCGCGAGCCAACGACTCTGTCGCAGGCTCTTAGGGGGGAACACAAGGCAAAATGGAAGGAAGCAATGGAAAAAGAACTGAAGGCCCTGCAAGACCGTAACACGTGGAAGCTGGTACCTGCAACAAAAACCAACGGGAAGAATGTGCTCTGGGGGAAATGGGTGTACCGCATCAAAACTAATGCGGATGGCTCCATCGACCGCTTCAAAGCTCGCTGGGTCGTACGAGGATTCGACCAGCGATACGGAACCGACTACACGGAGACATTCGCCCCAGTCTCCCGACATACCTCCCTGCGCATTCTGCTCGCCGTCGCGGCCACGAAAAAACTACCACTGCGCTAGATCGATGTCGCTAACGCCTTCCTATACACACCTGTGGATGCCGAAATCTTCGTCGAGCAGCCCCACGGATTCATCGACGATCCCACAAAATTGTGCCAGCTGGTAAAATCCCTCTACGGAATCAAACAAGCCCCGCGGCTCTGCCAACAGCATCTTCATGGCCGCCTCGTCAGGATCGGCTTCCTGTAGTTGCCGCACGACCAAGGGATGTACCGACTACAGAAGGGGGGGGAATTTGTCCTACTCATCGTCTACGTCGATGACCTGCTCTACGTCGGCTCCACTATCGACATCGTCACCTGGTTCGAAGGGGAGCTGAGGAGTGACTTAACACTCACGGTGTTAGAGACTGTGAGCCAGTACCTAGATCTGAATGTCATCGTAGACGACTCGGCGTTTTACCTACACGCTAAAAAGTACGCAGGCGTTGTCGCGAAGAAATTCGGACTAACGCCAGTCACAGTCGCGAGTCCCTATCGCTACGGGAACAACAGCGACACCTTTGCAAAGCTCCCCACAAAGCAAATCCAAGAATATCAACAGAAGCTCGGCTGTCTACTGTTCGCAGCAGTAACCTGCCGACCGGATCTGTCCTACAGCGCGAGCCAACTCGCGACACACCTGAAGCAGCCGGAGCAAGAGGATCTCAAGGAACTAAATCGGGCACTGCTCTACTTCGTCTCCACGCCGACAACCGGACTTACCTACAGCAAAGTAACACCATCATCCGTACAACTACTCGGCTATGTCGACCCCGACCACGCAGGAGATAGGGAGAATCGTCGCTCCAGAACAGGCTACATCTACCGACTAGAGCCTATCGGGACTATCTCCTCGCAATCGAGCAAGCAGGAATTAATCGCGCTATCCTCGGCTGAAGCGGAATACATCGCTCTCTGCTCTACCAAAGAGGGACTTTACCTGCGGGAGCTGCTCGAGGAAGCGAAAATTGCGACCATGCCCGCCTTCTCGTTATTCTACGACAACCAATCCGCGATCAAAATCGTGAACAAAAACGGGTTCGCCAATCGAACCAAGCACATCGCCCTGCGGTATTTCTTCATCAAGGATGAGATCCCGAAGGGGAGACTTCAACTCAGTTACTGCCCCACGACAGAAATGGCTACAGATTACCTGACGAAGAAACTGGCGAAGACAAAGTTTGATTACTGCATGCTGCTGACCGGGCAGATAAACGTTACCGAATCCGGACACGTCAGCACTCCAGAAACGAAGGGGAGTGTTGGAAATACCTCGAAGACTTGAGCGTTTCTGAAGTGTAACACTACTCTCGAAGGAAAGTCGTATCGAGTACGCGAGTCAACTGAGGTTATACGAGGAGGTTGGACGAAAGAACACGAAAGGACGAAGGAACTCGAAGGATCGCAACCGGATGCGACTGACCGTTACGACTGCAAGGGTAGTAACTGAACCAACGATCGCGTCCCTGTGCGACTCGATAACCGTTTCTTCAACTGTATTCTACAACTGTTCTATTTCCTGTTTTCTATATATTGCTGTGTGCTTGCTTCTTTTAATTATCACTTGCTCTCATATACCGTACTAGTGCAAGGGTTCAACTACTCAACACTTCCGCTGCACTACTCAAACACCTTGTACAAGTGGGACTTAGTCTCTGGAAAGATCCTAAGGGCTTTTCTCAGCCCAACACAGTGCACACACATAATGGGCTTGAAGAGATACTCCCTGTGAGCCACGCCTCCAATGCATAGCATTCCACCATGATGTAGATTTTCCCTATGCCTTGGTTTGGTTCCACTCCCCGTCATGGCAAATTCTCAGTCAGCCAAGCCAGCAGCCCAGGGCATTGAGCCATGATGTCTCCTGTGCTCCATTTGGGGGCCTGCTGCTCCCTGCTGCCACCGCCTCCCACTGTGCTGGCCTGCCACAGGGAAGGAGCACAACAGTGGAGAAAGGTCAGTGTGATGCACATGCTGCTGTTCCCTGCAGCAACCATCCCCCACTGGTGCTGGCCTGTGACAAGGGAAGGAACTACGGAAACAGAGGCAGGTGAATGGATGGGTTTGCGTGCGTGCACTGCTGCAGAGCATGCAATACAAGCAAGGTAAGGCTGAGATGAATCGCATGTGTGTACGTCCTTTCCGTACGTCTCTCTTGTACCATCATTGCAGCCCCTGAGGCTCTAGACTAGTAGCTTTATTGGCGGACAGGGGGCTGAGACACGGACCGACGGGGTGAGCGCTTTCAGCCATTGCAGTTTGTCTCCAGATTAGGGCGTATTCCTATGGACTGGGATCAGGATCAGACTAGGGCAGTACTGTGCGGTGCAAGTGTTGAGATTGCGTTTCAGTGCGGTTCATTTTAATTCTGTGCGAGCCTGATCCTGATCCCGGTGCATAGGAATACGCCCTTAGATGGCTCGTTTGCAGTTGTCTGTATTAACACACACCAGCTAGTGGCATATCGCGAGCATGTGACACACCCCACGTGGGCCACGTACGTACAGACACACGACTTGTTGTACCGTACCTTGAGCTCCTGCTGCCACGCAATTGGGCAGAATTCGATTTCATTCGTGCGCTGCCCACCTCCCTGCTTGTACTCGATCCCATCAACACGCGCAAACTTCCAGAGTCTCCCGCCCACCACCGCCTGCCGCACAGTCACATGCCTGACCGCACACACTTGGAATCTTCTGCTCCTTTCACAATGCCCGCTGCTCTCCCCAAACTCCCTAACGTCAGCCGCGTGGTAGCCTTCAGTCATGTGGGCTGGAATGTGCAGCCCTCCTGGCGTCCACGAGTCGATCTGCGAGAATTCCAGCATCCTCTTTATTGCAGAATCTAGTTCATCCTGTATGGGGTGGGACGATGGGGGATTAATTGGGGCGTGTCACACTGCACTTCAGGAGTTCAGAGGAGAGTCAATGTACTCGAACTCAGATTGTAGGTTGCACTTCCCTTTGGGGTCTACAGTCTGTATAATAGCATCTCGTTTAATTTCTTAATTGAAGGCTGGAAGTGTCTTCACACCGATGATTCACTGTTCACATGCATGCATGCGCCACTCACATCCAGAGTAGTCAGGTGTGTCTCGGTGAGCAGAATCAAGCGAGCGTCTACAGCTTTCCCAGGTCGTGCAATGTCGAACACCGCATAACGAAGAGGTAGCTTCTTCACCTGACCTCACAAAAGCAGCCACCATGTCATGTCTTGTGATGTAAGCATGTTAGAATAGAGGACAGGACAGGACACGAGGTCTGGAGGCATGTGATGATGACAGGTGCACGGTGCATGGAAGAGAAACAGAATCGAACAGAACTCCGAGTTTGGCCTTACCTTGCGGCTGGTCACACCTTTTTGACAAGGAAACGTCGCTCATCAGCAAGGTATGTGCACACCACCTTGTAGGGAATGCGTGTCTCAGAGTCAATCATCTGAACCAAGCACGCACAGCGAGCACAAATCAATGAATCTCATGCTCTGCCTTTCAGACGTCCTTGAGACGAGCATCTGCGCTGAGTGATGATGCGCAGCGCAGCACAGCGAGTTACCTGAATGTTGTACTTTTCACTGGACGTGGTCAGAGTAGCAGCTTGTCCAGCGTCCCTCATGAGCATGTCCTCCAGCCGGCTGTAGATGCTATCAGGCACGTGCGTCTCGTACATCCTGTGGATCGGCGCCTTGAACCACGCTCGCTGGTTCATGTGGTCCTCCAGCGCTTGGGCAGAGAACGACGGAATCTTGGACAGAGACTCCCTGGCAAGAGGGATGGAGAGAGGCCCGAATACAGACAGTGTTGAGCGAACCCATCAAGCATTGGACGTAAGAAGCTCCCCCTTCTGATCTTCTCACGACTGCTATATTGATGGCGCCGAGGTGGGTCGATCGGAAAAAAGGGAAGACGGAAGCATGAGAAGCATCAGCGATGCAAAATGCACGAGAAAATGAGCATGGGGCGCGCTCCCATGAGTAGTAACACGCGGATCACACGTCACGCACTCTGGCCTGCCTCGAGTGGAGAAGAGCAGCTTGCCGAGTCGAACCAGGAGCTTCACCTTCTCTATCTCACCGCACCCACCAGCGTCTCCCACCGCCGCTGCACGATGCTCGATTCTCTCCCGAACCAGATTCAGAGAATCAATCAGAGGCTGCCGAAGTGCGTTCATCAGTCTGGCCTCTCGTGGACTGTCCCCGTTACCCTCGCCGTTCGACGCTGCAGGAACTCCGCCGTCCTCATTACTAGCATCACCGTGGAACGCCCATAATCCCGTGCCGGAATCATACTCCCGATTATCTGAAGAGCCATTCCTTCTAGACAACCAGTTCTCGACATTTCCCTGCGTCGGAGACTTGGCAAGCACGGCAAGACGCGTGTTTCCCACATGGGGGTAGCACTGGTTGTGGAATTGCCTGAAAATGAGCGAAATTCTCTGATCCGGCGTGAAAATAAGATTTCCGGCCTAGTTCTCGTCATAATCGTCCACGAGCGCTAATAACCTGGCGTCACTGGCATGGTAAATGGGACGCGCTGATCTGAGTACGAGCGGAGTCCGCAGTCGCGGATCTCGGTGAGACATGGCAGATGAGCCGGCGCGATGAGCTGAGCTTCTTTGGGATTCTAGGACCTACTACCTCCGACGCTTAACGACGAATCTTAAACGAGCCTGGTGGAGCGGAACTTCTAAGCATTACGCACGGGTGGCCTGCACTACTGGCAACGTCGTCACTCCCAACTGTGTCAGCGTGGAAGGTCACTATCGATGCTAAGGGGAGATCCAAGAGCGTAAACGACCCGTCCTGGGTCCCTCTGGCCATACCTGGAGCTCGGAAGCGCACAGCATGCGCGCTCCGCAGTCTATTCGTTGTTTTCAGTGCGTGTGGCTATGTCTGCGTCATCAGACCAAACCATAGTACATAGCTCATGGCTACCAGCACTACTAACTGTCGAGTGTGATTTTTCGTGGTCTGCTATGAAGATGTGACGGTTTCAGCTCCACAGAATTTCGCTTGAAGTCACGACCGTCCATAAATTGGACGAGACGAGCCCGGTAACTAGATGTTGAATCGAGCCCTCCACGTCAGCAAGGGGTCACTGTCGTCGTTTCGTGAGGAGTGTCGCGACGTCATGACGACAACCTGCTTGCGAAAAGCCGTTCGCAAGAATGGCAGCCCATACGTTTTCAAATTCACACCCCCCGCCTTCGACCCCACACGTTCAGGTTCAGGTTCCTCCGCGGCTGGATCTGTAGGCCTAGTGATAGTATCTTCCGCTCCTCATCCGCTCTGTTCCTTCAGTACCCGCCTCTCACCATGCCGTACGTTCCTCCTCATAGGCGACTCCGAGCGACCAGTTCCGCAGCCGAATCCGCAATGCCACAGCAAAGCCACCCAGGTTCGGTACTAGGTCCGGGAAACAGGGTCTGGGGAAGAGGCCGAGGCCGAGGTCGCGATCAGTACGGGGCCGGAGGCAGAATCTTCTCATTCAAGCCAAATTCGATTAGGAGCTCTCCTAGCGCTGTCGCATATACCCTAGTCGACGATTTCGTCGAGCGAGAGTCATCGCTGATTGTGCCTGTAACTGGGGACGAGCTCGCTGTAACCGGATGGTCCACAAGTTCCAACCGTTTCAGGGGAGAAGTCAGCACCTACGGAATAAAAACCTCGCTATTCTTACCAAGGTTCCAGAAGCCGATCTTGACAATAACGAGTCAACCGTGAATTCGCCTTTGTCTGATGCCACCTCCTCCTCACCCCTCTCCGTCCATCCCGCAGCGTCCTTACATGACTCTATAGCGAGTCTTCTTCGTAAAGGACTAGTTGCCGCTTTTAGAGGCATGCAGGCTGCTGCAGATCCTGGTGTCGGAAAGTCGCCAAACAAAGACAGATGCAAGCTACGGATGCCACTAGGGACGCTGCTGCTGTCGCCACCACGAAAATCTCCAGAGTTCGTGAGAGCGCTGCGCTTCTCAACCCCACAACCCTGCCTCCTCGCTGCTTACCTAGGTCTTATTTTGTTCTTCAATCCGGTCCCGTTCTTCAGTCCGGTCCCAGTCTTATTTTGTTCTTCAATCCGGACGCTGCTGCTGTCTTATTTTTCTTCCGTCACTCTACCAGTTGTAAGGTTTGCTTGGAAACTTCTGCACTCTTTCAAGTGGCAACACATCAAGAGCCATTTTTCTCTTTCATTCCTCACTTACATTTCCATGCAGTTACTGACAACACCCCCCCCCCCCCCAACCCCCACCCCACACTCTCTGCCCTCTCAAATGCACCCCTCGCTGCAGGATCGTCCTCTCCAGCCTACCGCCCTTCACAATGGGGGCGCTTGAACTGGATTTGAACAGAATAGCGCGGAGACTACCCACGCGGGTGTTCTCGTCACTGGAAACGGGCCTAACAGACGATGCATTCAGCGCCGTGTGAGAGCGCACACCAAGTCAAACTACCACATATGGGTATGCGTTGCTTCAAGTGGCGATCTGTTCAGCGTACGCCTACTTGCTTTCTACTGTGCTGGTTAGCCGATGTTGTTATGTTCAGCGTGTTCATTCTATAGGAACCAGTAGTGGCGTTGGTGTGAGCTGTGTTTTTTGTGAAGTGTAGAGCTAGGTTATGGAGGGAAGGAAGTGAAGGGCCTAACTAATTGTGCTATGGGTGCCGCTTTGGTTCCTCCTCCTCTGCTCTTGTCCACCTCATCCCCGCCTTCTTTATTTGCTGTCGTGCTGAAAGTAATACAGTTTCAAAATGCCTTCATGCATTGTTACCCTGAAACAGGTGAAGGACATGAGGATGGGATCTGAGTACAAGCTGATCTACGAGCCTGTCCCTGATAGCTCATGAATCATCCTCACTAAGGTGCGCCTCACTACTACAACAGCTTCCGGTTATTTTCTTGTGAAGACTGCTCATAACAAAAGTCTCCAAGCAGTCATTGGTCCAGCATATCTTCTTACCCCCATGATCCATCCATATCGCCGTCCCCACCTCCCTCTGCCCATTCTTCGTCTGCTGCACAATGTGGCAGGTGAAGAGCAGGCAGTGCCGCTATGCAGTCATTCACGTGTTCCGTCCTTCCAAGGCGGCAGACTGCCGCATCGCCCTCTGGAAAGACCCCAGGCTCTGCTGGCTTGATGTGCGTAAGGCCACGCACTCGGGACAATCCTATGTGCATGGATGCTTCCTGCGTTTCAGCTGCTCCCTGCCAACGCTAGTAGTCGGGGTGCATGTGTACTTGGGGGTGGGGGGGCCCTTTGTTTTGACAATGTTTTACCCGACATTGTCCTCCCCTCTCTCTCCTACTCTCAACTGGTCCGTGTTATTAGGCTTATACGGGTTACAGGGTACACAAGGGGTAGGCACAGCATGTCGGCTCCCTCTCCCACTCTCTCACTCCACCTCTTCACCCCCCCTCCCCTCCTCTGTTCTCTTCCCTTGTCTATCTATACCCACTTCGTTCAGGAGGCCACCCAGTCGGTGTGTGAGTGCATAGCATCCGCAGCAACCATGGACATCACCTCAGCGTTTGGGCTTCACTGGCCTATCAACCCCGACTCAAACGACTTTGACGTCTCCATGCTCCTCTCATCATCATCGACATCGTCCTCGTCATTGGCATCGTCATCGTCCTCGTCATCGTCATCGTCCTCGTCATCGTCATCGTCCTCGTCATCGTCCTCGCCCTCGCCCTCGCCCTCGCCCTCGCCCTCCTCCTCCTCCTCCTCCTCCTCCTCCTCCTCCTCCTCCTCCTCCTCCTCCTCCTCCTCCTCCTCCTCCTCCTCCTCCTCCTCCTCCTCCTCCTCCTCCTCCTCCTCCTCCTCCTCCTCCTCCTCCTCCTCCTCCTCCTCCTCCTCCTCGTCGTCCTCGTCCTCGTCCTCGTCCTCCTCGTCGTCCTCGTCACCATCATCATCATCGTCATCAGCAGCAGCAGCAGCAGCAGCAGCAGCAGCAGCAGCAGCAGCAGCAGCAGCACCCACTTCACCTCCTGCCCTCCCACCGCACCCAGCTACTTTACCATCTGTTCGTTTCGTAGTCACGGGGGTGCGGCATATCAGAAAGACTCGAGGCGGCGTCGGGTGGACGCTATTGGAAGCTGTCTCGGATCAGCGGGGTGCGGGTAGAACCCCCTGGGGCCCACCACACAAAGCTGATTGAGTTTTGCCCGCTCTCGTGGCGGGAGAAGTTGAAGGTACGATGCAGGCGGGTCCTAGGTGATTCCTTGCGCAGCTTAGCATGAGATTCTGAGGGATTCACCAGGGGCGATGTTTCGCGTGAGATTCTGAGGCGAGCTCCCGTTTTGTCCAACTGATGCAGCGCCATGGAGAGCCAAGCGACGCCACTGCACCCTCAGCACCTCCCTACCCCCCTCCTCATCTTGCTGTGACTCGAGCTTGCAGCACGCGGCACCGCACTGGACTCCAGAGAGCATTCTTGCCGACTTCCCTGCCCTTGTACACTGGCTGCAGCAGCGCCTGCCGTAGAGCTACAGTGCTGTAAGGGTGTCTGGTCTGCTGGTGGTGTTGCACTCCAGAGAGCACTCTTGCTGAATGCTCAGCCCCCTTAGACTGGCTGTAGCAACACTTGCCATCGAAGAAGCGGAGTGAACTAGTGTGGTGTCACTCTACAGGCTCATATCGTATGTACAGGTGATGCAAATAATAATTGTGAGAATTTGGTGTATGTTGCTCACAAGTCTCCTATCCACACCCCCAGCGAAGTGTGGAGGCTAGTGTTCATTGATTATGCGTGCTCGTGAGTCGTCCTCGACACAGCAAGCCTGCCTTAGCATGTCCGAAGGGTACGTTACATTCATTTCGTTTTGGTAGGCAGTACACGCGCGTCGGATACGCCCTAACTTCTCCACTGCCCTACTCCTCTCGCGCCACCTGATCTCCCACGTGGTGCCAACCCCTTGCGCTTTCTTGAGCTGCCAGCGGCGCGTACACTTCCCCCCATCCCCGCCGCCATGGCCCAGCCGCAGCCGCGGAGGGAGTCGGATACTAGAGTGCGCGGCGACGGTGCGGCGGCGGCGACCGCAGCGGCGCAGCTGCCGATCGTGGAGTTCGAGGAGGCCATTCTGAGCGCCGTGGCGCGGCACCCCGTCACCGTCGTCATCGGCGCCACGGGATCGGGTGAGCCGCCCCGCCAAAGCGCTCTCGCTGCTCCTCCATGGGCCTTCGAATTCAGCGGCAGCGGTCGAATCCAGTACCGCTGGCCGCCGCGTTTCTCCGCGTCCAGCACCGGGCCTACTCAGTCGGTTAGCCGCCGTAACGGTTTGGCTGCAACACACGCACCTGATGATAGCTTGATCTCCCTTCCCCCACTTCCCCCGCTTCCCTCAGGCAAGAGCACACAGCTACCGCAGATGCTGTACCGCGCGCAGCTGCGCCAGGCGGGGGAACCACCAGGGCAGGGGGAGAGGGCGAGCGGAATCGGGATGGGCGCCATCGCGGTGACGCAGCCGCGGAGAGTGGCAGCCGTGTCGGTGGCCAGGTGAGGACGGAGAAGGGGGAGGGATTTGGGGGGGTAGGGAGGGGAGGGAGCAGGATGAGAGAAGGGGAGAGGGCTGGTGGAAGGGTGTTTGAGGCAGGTCAAAAGCCGTGGGGATGAGGGGGAGGGGGGTTGGGAGTGTGGGGCGACGGATAGGGTGGACCGGCAGCCTGCAGCACACATGCTCTTGACAAGTTCTGAGACGCCCGCCTCAAAGCTGCTTCATTTCTTCTTTCCCCGCCACCTCTCCTGCGTCCCCCATGCACCCCTTGCCCCCTGCGCCTCCGTCCGCCCCATGCCCTCCCCCCCCACCCCCGTTGTCCTCTGCTCCCCCCTCCGCCCCGTGCCCCCCACCCCACCGTGTCCTCTGCGCCCCCCTCTGCGCCGTGGCCCCCAGGCGAGTGGCGCAGGAGGTGGGCGTGCGGCTGGGGTGTGAGGTGGGGTACGTGGTGCGGTTTGAGGCCTGCAGCAATGCGACATCGCCTCCTTTTCTTCTTACTCCCGTCTTCTCTCCTGTGTCCCCCATACGTCCCTTATCCTCTGCTCCTCCGTCCGCCCCGTCTCCCCCCACCCCTCCCTCGTCCTCCCCGTGTCCTCTGCGCCCCCCTCTCCCTCGTGGCCCCCAGGCGTGTGGCGGAGGAGGCGGGCGTGCGGCTGGGGTGCGAGGTAGGGTACGTGGTTCGGTTTGAGGACCGCAGCAGTGTGGCGTCGCGCATCGTGTTCCAGACGGACGGCTGCCTGCTGCGAGAGCTGCTGGGGGACCCGCTGCTGAGCCGCTACTCCGTGATTGTGCTGGATGAGGCGCACGAGCGCAGCCTCAACACGTGCGTATGGCCCTGCTGCTCGCTTGCATGCTTGCTGTACTTGTTTCCCTCCCATCCTTTCGCCAGTCTCATCACACCCCTGGATTTGTCACCGCCCAAACCTCTCTGCCCGTCCTCTTCTGCTGTACCGTATTCGACCCGCCTTTCCCCTCCCTCCCCCCTGCCCCCCTCCACGCGCCCTTAGCTGCCCCTAACCTGCTGCTGCCATCTGTTGCCTACCATGCAGGGACATCCTCTTCGGTCTGCTGAAACGTTTGGTGGCTGCCCGAAAGGACGACCTGAAGCTGGTGATTACGTCAGCCACTCTCGACGGGCAGAAGTTCTCGGCGTTCTTCGGCAACTGCCCCGTGGTGGAGGTGCCCGGCCGCCTGCACCCCGTGCAAGTGCTCTACAGCACGGACCGCCCTGCCAGCTACTTCCAGTCTGCGGTCGAGACCGCCATTGGTGGGTGGGGTGACAGGGAGAGGAGGGGAGGGGATGGGAGCGGAGGGGAGGGGAGGGGATGGCGTGGGTGAATGAATGAGACAACTTTTGGAGTGCAAGTGCTGTCCATGGCCCTCGTTGTCTCCAGCTTCCATTGGTTCTCGTTCATATTCAAATCCCTCGTCCACTCCCCTCCGTTTGCCGGCCAATGCAATTCCCCCCTTCCTCTCCCCTCCCCCACGCACCCCCAGACATCCACATGGGGGGGGAGCCGGGCGACATCCTGGTGTTTCTGACGGGGCAGGACGAGATAGAGCGCGCGATAGCGGCGATGGAGGAGCGCATTCGCAGCAGCGGCGAGGGCCAGTGCATGGACGCGCTCATCCTGCCGCTGCACGCCTCGCTGCCGCCCGAGCTGCAGGTGCCCGAGCACTGCTGGGGTCTTGATGCGCTGAACTGGGCTCTTGTTGGCGGTCACTGAGGCCTCAAAAGGCGAGGGCCAGTGCATGGACGCGCTCATCCTGCCGCTGCACGCCTTGCTGCCTCCTGAGCTGCACATGTGCCATGCTGGGTTCAAGTTGCATGGCAGGGGCTTGCGGGATGTGCTGTTAGGCGCTGGTTGGCATGGTCCTAGCCGTTGATCCAAGTGTGGTAGACTCGCGGTGTATGTTGCACATGAGGAAAGCTCTCAGTTCCCCTAACAGCCTTACCCAGCCTCGTTGGCTCCCCCCTCTCCTCCCCTCTCTCCTCCTCTCTCTCTCCCCCCTGTCAGGTGCGTGTGTTCACCCCAGCGCCCCCGGGGTGTCGGCGCATCATAGTGGCGACGAACGTGGCAGAGACGGCGGTGACGCTGGATGGCATTGTGTTCGTGGTGGACCCGGGCCACGTCAAGCAGAAGCACTACGACCCCAACACACAGCTCGCTGCACTCACCGTCGTGCCCATCAGCAGGTGGGTGGCGTCAGCAGGTGGGTGGTGCAAGAGTGTGAGTGTGAGAGTGCGTGCAAGTGCCCTGGTCAGGTGGATTTGGGTGTGCGCGATTTTGTTTTCTCACAACAGCATGGGATTGTGATCCATGCCAGGTGAAAAAGGAGCAGTGAGCTCCCAGCATGCAGCTACTTGCATTGCAGTCACCCTGCAGCCGCCTTGCATGTGAAAGCAGCGCCTTGCATACATGGAGTAATGAGCCTTGCATGCGCTCCTTGTCTCTCCTGCACCGCCACCTCTCACCCTTGCATCAGCTTTCTCCTGTCTTTCCCGACTATCCCATCTCTCCCACTGCCCCATCCCACTGCCCATCGCCCCCCCCCCCCGGCCAAAAGAGTGCAGGCTGTCCAGCGGGCAGGGCGGGCAGGTCGAACGCGCCCGGGCAAGTGTTTCCGCCTCTACCCCAAGTCGGTGTTTGAGCATGAGTTGCCTGAGGCCACCGAACCTGAGATCTGCCGATCCTCACTTGCAGGTGCGTTACCTTTACCTTTTTGTCGCTCCATTCTTTGTGCTAAAAGTACAGCTCTGGGTTCTCTGCCTCTCACTCTCACGTTTTTCTCACTTTCACATGCTTCTTGCCTAATCACGCCTTTTCTGTGCCTGTCACCTTCTTGCCATCCTCCTCCGCTCTCTTCCAGGCACAGTGCTGCACCTAAAGTCCCTCACACGCTTGGATGCAGCCCACAGAAAACGAAGGGAGGGCCAACGGGGCGACGAGGCAGATCCAGGGAGCAGCAGGGAGGGGGGATCATCAGCAGCAGGGGAAGCAGCAGCAGCAGCAGCAGCAGCAGCAGCAGCAGCAGCAGCAGCAGCAGCAGCAGCAGCAGCAGCAGCAGCAGCAGCAGCAGCAGCAGCAGGAGGGAAGGCAGCTGGGGGCATCGGGGACGTGCTGTCGTTTGAGTTCCTGGACCCGCCCTCCCGCTCTGCTCTAGAGGACGCGCTGCTGCAGCTGTACGCGCTAAGGTGCATTGACGAGCGCGGGGACATCACCGCCACCGGCAGGGACGTGGCGCACCTGCCGCTCGACCCCTCCCTCGGCGTCACACTGCTCGCTGCCAAGTCGCTCGGGTGCCTGCCGGACGCCATAGCTATTGCCGCTATGCTCTCCGCTGATGTCAGCGCGCCGTCGGGTGGAGGGAAGGATGGGGGTAGGAGAGGAGGAGGAAGGGGAGTAGGAGGGGGTGGTGGTGGGTTGGTCCCACTGCCGGATGGGGAGGGGTATGGGGATCACATTCGGTGGTTGCAGGTGTACCGTGAGTGGGAGGCGTCGGGGTTCCAGGCACCCTGGTGCAAGCAACGAGGGCTGCAGGTGCGTTGGCATGCCTGCATTCCTTGTACTGCAACGCAAAGTTCTGTTTAGCCCTCTCGCCGTTTTTCTACACCTCTATCATGTCTGCAACACCACCCCGTTCCCAACCATTCCCCCCACCCCCCCACCCCCCTGGCCCCCCATTGCGCATCTTCATGGCTCACCTGGCGCCCAGGTCAGGTCCATGAAGTTTGTCCATAACGTGGCTCGCCAGCTCACTGCTGTGTGATAGAACCTAGTTTTGAAACACCTTAAAACCAACCATCCCTCCTTTCAACCCCCCTCCCTTCCTTTCTTGCTCATCTTCATGCCGTACCTGGCTCGCCAGCTAACTTTTTGAAGGCGCTTGAACCCCTCCCCCCCACCCATTGCTCATGGCTGTGCCTTGCCTGGCGCTCAGCTCAGGTCCATGAACTTTGCTCGGGACGTGGCTCGCCAGCTCACTGCTGCCGTCACCGCACACTCCTCCCGCCACACCCGCTCTGCCGCTCCCATAGAGGGCAGGGGCATGAGAAGCGGGAATGCAGAAGGTGCAGGGGGGGTAGTGGATGGCAGCAGGGACGGCTGGGCAGGGCTGAGGCACGCTCTGTGTGTGGGGTCTGCGAACAAGATAGCGCGGCGCATGCGGCAACACAATGGGTACAAGACCGTGCACGCCAAGTCACGCCTCGTTGAGGTGAGCAAGACTGCAAATGCTTGTGGAGCCCACTCCACTGCACTGGAGGGCTCTCATGCTTGCCCTCAGCTCCTCTCCCCCCTTCCCTTTGCTTCCTCACCAGTCTCAGCTCAGCTCAGGTGGGTCCCACATGCCAACAGCCACCATTCTGCTCCACTCATTCCCTCACCTTGTCCTCCTCTCTTCCTTCCCCCTCCCCTCCGCTCCCCTCCCCTCCCCCCCCAACACCCTTACGTCTCTCAGCTGCACCCTGCGAGTGCGCCTCTATCAGTGGATGCGGACGGGCTACTACCGGAGTGGGTGGTGTACCAGGAGATAGTGGCCACCACGCGCGCCTTCATGCGCTGCGTGTGCGCTGTGGAGGAGGCGTGGGTGCAGCCGCTGCTGCCGCGCCTGCACGACGTGGATGTTAACAGACTCAGGTGGGTGGGCCTTGCATTGCAGGTTGGTAGAACCGGTTTGCCTAAGTTGCCAACAGGCTCAGGTGCGTATGCCGTTCCATCAGGCTCGGGTGGGTGTGCGGTGTGCGCCTCACCTGCCAACCTAGAGGCGGGGTTTCATGTGTCAAAGCTCAGATGCAGCAACACGGTGAGGGGGAATCGAGGCTCACTACACCTCCTCTGTGCCTCATGGTGCTGTCTATGGTGTTCATTCCCCTGCAGTGGTGGGGACAAGGCAGCAGCTGCTGCCAAGGAGCAAGAGGCTAAGGCGCAGGCAGCAGCAGCAGCAGCTGTGGCAGCGGTGGCAGGGGTGGCAGCACCAGGCACAGGAGGTCCTGGGACCTCAGCTCCTGGTGCTAAGGCTTCAGCTGTAGATGCAGCACGGGCCAGGTATCTTTCAAGGAAGAAAACTAAGCTGAGATAGGCAGTAGTAGTAGTGAGTGGGTGTGCTGCATCAAGTCCCTAGCTGTTAGCCTTTTGGTGCACAAGCTTGATGTTCCAGAAATCGCTGATTCTTGCTGCATGTCGAAATGCAACATGGGAGGCTTGCAAATGTGTTTATGCAAGTTCACTACAGCGTCCTCCTGAACGTGTGTTGCATAAATTTGAAACAACTGGCCCAGGCCCATATTTATCTGGCTTTTTACGCTGATTTTGCTTCTTTTTTTCAGGGTGTTCTCTTGTACTTTCCTGATGAATCAGCCTTGAAAATGAAAGAACCAGGGCCAACCAGTAAGAAAACCACTACCAAAAACTGATTTTCAGGGTGTTTTTTGAGATCGACACTGATCAATCAGTGTGGCCTAAAACGAATCTGAGGGCCTGAACTGGCTGCTGCAACTCGGCTGAATACAAGCCAGATAATAACCACAAGTACATGCACTAGTCATCAAGACAACACAGCTTACCATATCATAACTCAGTCACTAACCACGAAGCTAAAAGGGCTTGTTAAGTAGCGAGTATGTGCTGTTTGAATAGCTCAGTGAGGGTTTAGCTAGGTAGGACGAAATGTCCAGTGACCCGCTGGGGTTAACCTTGCGAAGATCCTCGGGGAAGGGCCATGGGTGCAGAGCCTGGGGGGCTATGGGCGCACTGACCCGCTATTAACAAGCCCTTCTTGTTAAAATTATATAAGTTATAATTTAATATAGGCTTGGTAGGTTGTTACTGAACCTTTCTGTAGAGGGTACAAACCCCTTCTTGTACTCCTCTCTCTTCCTAATCAAACACCCTTTCTTCTCGACATTCTCTCCCTTCCTAGATCCGTTTTCCTCACGCCATTCCATGGCGGCCTTCTTGCTAGTATCATAGCCAACCTAGCCTCCTAAGTTTAAGAACCTTGAGTCCTAAGTTTCTAAGATGGTATCAGAGCCGGTCGTGTCCACCGGACCCTCTCCCTACGTCTCCGTTGCGTACTCCTGCTGCATTCGCAGCCTTCACGGTTTTCTGCCTGCCTGCCGTCGCGGCATCAAGCTGTCGCGAGGGCCCCTTGTTGCCTGCCGTCGCGGCACCAAGCTGTCGAGACGGCCCCTTGTTGCCTGCCGTCGCGGCACCAAGCTGTCGCGACGGCCCCTTGTTGCCTGCCGTCGCGGCACCAAGCTGTCGCGACGGCCCCTTGTTGCCTGCCGTCGCGACACCAAGATGTCGCGACGGCCCCTTGTTGCCTGCCGTCGCGGCGCCAAGGTGTCGCGACGGCCCCTTGGTGCAGCCGTCGCCCGTCCGCCTCGCCGCTGCGGCATTGACGGTGCGCTGTGGCGGCGTCTAGGGCAGCCGCTGGCATCGTCGGACTGCGGCCGGCCGAGCGACGTCTGTGACGCAGCCGGACCTGCCGCCCGCTCGCCAGCCACGGGCGTCCCTCTGGACGCCGTCCTCCCGCCAGTAAGCGCCGCGCCATTTATGGCGCGTCGCTGAAGAATCGCCCCGCTTTCCCCCATTCTCCCTTCCCCCTGCGTCTTCCCTTCCTCCTGTCGCAGCTGCTGTCTTCTGCCCGGACGTTGCCACACCGCCGAGAGCCCTCAGCCGCGGCAGTCGCCGCCTGTCGTCAGCGACCCAGCCGCCTTGAGCCAGAGCTCCGCTGCTGCTTGACGCTGACCCGCCCAGACGCCGTAGGCTGCCTCGTGTACGGGGGTGTGTCAACGCTTTGCACGAGGGTCAGATACCCGGCTAAGCACGAGCTTGAGGGTGTGCGGGGTTAGGGGGTGGGTTGGGTGGGTGTGTGACTACCAAGCCTAGGGGGTGTGTTAAAATTATATAAGTTATAATTTAATATAGGCTTGGTAGGTTGTTACTGAACCTTTCTGTAGAGGGTACAAACCCCTTCTTGTACTCCTCTCTCTTCCTAATCAAACACCCTTTCTTCTCGACATTCTCTCCCTTCCTAGATCCGTTTTCCTCACGCCATTCCATGGCGGCCTTCTTGCTAGTATCATAGCCAACCTAGCCTCCTAAGTTTAAGAACCTTGAGTCCTAAGTTTCTAAAACTTCTAACTCAGTGGTTGGTGGCTGAGTTCTGACATGCTATCAGAGCATCGGTGACTCGGGTTCAATTCCTAGTGCAAGCGCTATAGAGGCGCTTGTGTCTTCCAGCTATCCCAGCGAGGGGGGGTGTCGAGTGACCCGCTGGGATTACCCTTGAGACGATCCTCGGGGGAGGGCCACAGGTGCACAGCCTGGGGGGCTATGGGCGCACTGACCCGCTATTAACAAGCCATTTTAACTCAGTGGTTAGTGGTTGAGTTCTAACATGGTATCAGAGCGTTGGTGACTCGGGTTCAATTCTCAATGCTAGCGCTTCAGAGGCGCTCGTGTCTTCCACCTATCCCAGCGAGGGGGGGTGTCGAGTGACCCGCTGGGGTTACCCTTTAGAAGATCCTCGGAAAAGGCCACAGGTGCAGAGTCTGGGGGGCTATGGGCGCACTAAGCCGCTATTAACAAGCCCTTTTAACTCAGTGGTTGGTGGCTGAGTTCTGACATGCTATCAGAGCGTTGGTGAGTCGGATTCAATTCCCAGTGCTAGCACTGTAGAGGCACTTGTGTCTTCCACCTATCCCAGCGAGGGGGGGTGTCGAGTGACCCGCTAGGATTACCCTTGAGAAGATCCTCGGGGAAGGGCCACAAGTGTAGAGCCTGGGAGGCTATGGACGTACTGACCCACTATTAACAAGCCCTTTTAACTCAATGATTAGTGGCTGAGTTCTGACAAGAAAGTGGCGAGAGAAGAGAGGCTGACTAGTGAAGAGAGAGAAATACAAGGAGTGGGTTGTACTCTCTACAGCAGGATCCAATCAAAGTAATGCACCTGCCTAGCCTACATATATATGTATGTGTATATATATATATATATGTGTATGTTGATACACCCCCTAGACTGTCAACATATATTTGTATATATTATAGGCTAGATAGGTACATGCTCATAGAGAGTACAACACTTTATGACAAAACCACCCTGTATCACCCATTCTAGATTATTCGTTACTCTGAGATGGGATCATGCGCTAGGTTAGGTCCTCCCCCCCCACCCGCGCTTCCGCTCTAGTCCTAGTCCTAGCCCTAGCCGCCCGTCACTAGCCGTCCGTTGCTAGCCGCCCGTCGCTAGCCGCCATCGCTAGCCGTCCGCTCCTAGCCGCCCGTCGCTAGCCGTCTCTACTAGCCGCTCGCCGCTCACCGCCACTGGCCGCCCGTCGCCTCGTGCTGCCCTTAGCCGCCAGCCGCCTGTAGCCGCTGGCCACCCGTAGCCGCCAGCCGCCCGTTGCTGCCGACCGCCTATAGCCCCGCGCCCATCGGCCCTAGCTCGCCGGCCCCCCGCTAGCTCGTTGGCCCCGCTCATCGGCCCCTACTCGCTGGCCCCGCACTCTGCCGCTGTCGCTGAGACAGCCCCTATTGCTGAGACCGCCGCCGCGGCCTCAGTGCAGCCGCGTCAGGGTAAGGGCCGCCGCCCCAAGGGGGGGCGTGGCAGAGGGAAGGGTGGCGCAGGTGGTGCGGGTGGCAGAGGTGACGGAGGTAGTGGCGGGGACAGTGGTGCAGACGAGGGACCGGGGCTGATGCCCTAGAGCAGTAGCAGCAGCAGCAGCAGTCGCAGCTCGGGGAACCCCGCCCCTGTGGTGGCCTGGTGGCGCTGGTGGAGGTGGTTGTGGTGGTGGGCCGCGCAGCTCGGTGTCGGGTGGCGGCTCCAGTGTGGTCACCTGCCAGTACGAGCTTCAGTCCGGCCCCCGCCGCGGCACTGTCTGCGACCGTCCCGGTCCCACTGCCGCCCGCTGTTACCGTTGCCTGGCCGACCTCTTCCGTCTCCGCTTCGGCCCCGCGTCGGACCCCCCCAACGGGTACAGCTTGGTGCGTCTCCGTGTGCCTGTCTTTGAGCTGGATATGGATCAGATTAGGTCTGCTATGCATGTCATATAGGTGGATGACTCTAGTGTGACTGTACCTTATTACCCTGTGTTGCCTAATGTAGGTATGTCCACTGTGTGTAGTCTAGGCTCCCCTGCTGCGTCAGGGGTAGTACCTTTTGCCTTGTTCAGCCTTGGCTCTACGCTAGCTCCTCCATCGGCTGACGCTACCGCTGCCATCTCCTTCATGCTAGACTCTGGTGCGTCTGACCGCTTCTACCACGCCCACACTGCGCTTACAACGCTTGCTGCCCTTGCCGCTGTTGCGCTTGCTGACCCCTCCTCAGGCTCGGTAGTTGCACGTAGCTCTACTACCCTTCCCTCTCCGGTGGTTCCCTTGGGCCCTCTTACAGGCTTGCACATCCCCTCCATCTCCAGGAACCTAGTTGGTGTCGGTTGTCTTTAGGACCTTGGCATCACCAGTACTTTCCCTGGTCATGAGCGGCACACGGTCCGACGGGAGCGGCTCCCGCCGGTCCTAGGAGCGGCATGCGGTGGCTGCTGTGGCACCACCACTTAGGTCACCCCGCACTCCCACGTCTGCATCATATTTCCCATCACGATCTTGTCTTAGGTCCCCCTTCGTCGCTCCTTGCTCTCCCTCCTTCGCCTGCGCCGCCATGCACGCCCTGCGTCAAGGACCGGTTGCCCCGTGCTCCTCACTTCTCCTCACTTCCCCGTACCACTGCGCCACTCCAGACCTTGCACCTGGACGTCTTGGGCCCATTCCCCGTCCCTGTGCCGCGTCGAGAGCGCTACTTTCTAGAGCTCGTCGACGACTACACGCGCTATACTGTATCACGTTGTTTCCCCTGCAGCGGAAGGCCAACGTGTTTGACGTTCTTATCCCGTGGGTCGTAGCTGCGCGAGTCCACCACTGCATCCCGTGATGCGCCTCCACTCCGACCGTGGTGGCAAGTTCGCCTCCGGTCGGCTTGGCCAGTTCTGTCGTGCGGAGGGCATCACCCAGTCGTACACCCTGCCGGAATCCACGCAGCAGAATGGGGTCGCTGAGCGACGCATCGGTTTGGTCATGGAGGTGGCTCGTACCTCCATGATCCATGCCCGTGCACCCCATTTTCTGTGGCCGTTCACTGTTCGCTATGCCGCTCACCAGCTTAACCTGTGGCCACACTCCTAGCGGCCGCAGGTTTTGCCGACCCTCATCTGGACTGGGTCCCCTGGTTACTCGTCTGCGTTCCACGTTTGGGGCTGCCTTGCTCATGTTCGTGCCTCTGGCACGGACAAGCT